ACAAGATTAGAATAACAAGTGGTTGATTAATAAAAAAAATATGCAAGGTACAAGATTGTAGAGGTTACAAAGCTAAAATTGATGCTAAAAAAACTACCTAGAAATACAAACTGAAATGCTAAAATGAATATTAAGAGTTGATTGTTGTTGAGACTTGAGAGCCCTCTCTATGTGACTTTCTCTTCCTTTTACAGTGATTCAGCTGAAGTAGTTGCCCTCATGGAATCTGGAGCTTGTTAGCAAAATATCAAGGATTCAATAGCACGGCTCATGAAATTTATGACATGATACAACATTTCTCCTTGATGGTCTCGTATGTCTATCTTAAATCTTAAGAGTTAAGTTAAGCTTGTACATGGAATGTTTCTTCTTGCTTACAGCGTGTAGTTGCCAACCCGTGTCCTAAAATATCTGTAGATGAGGATCATAATCTTGCAAGATTCAGGGCTTATTGAGATCAAGAACTCATGTGAGGCAATGGTCTAGATAATGATTTTGACTCTTAAGGGATTTAATGACCTGAGCTGACTTAATTAAGTTATTTTATCATAATGTGGATCGGCTTTATTATTATTGGATCTCTTGCTGGACCTAATGCTGTAAATGACCCTAAGAGCGGAATGAATTAGGTTGATCAAAAATTTGCATTGACTTTACAGAAATAAAGAGAGAAGTGTAGAAATGTTGTCACCAAACACAAGAGATAGAAGAAAAGAGCTTGCACGGATGATTTATCCTAGTTCGACTCTTATCACTTGAGTCTAAGTTAAGTTCCCAAAAACCTCGTAAGATTTCCAACTATATCACCAAGATTAAATTGGGCTCTTAGTTGCCGTAATACATTCATGGATTTCTTACTAAATCTGAATCTCTCCCCTTACAAAGGTAATAACGAATCTACTTAAGCTCCTCAAGCTTAAGTTTATCTATTTAGATAATAAAAAAATAGAGATAAATAGAGTAAGTTTAAGAATAAATTACCACTATTATAAACTCTCTTTAAGAGTAACTATGTAATCTATGAAGATTACAAATAATAAATGTTATTCTAGAAGTTCATAAAAATTGAATGCAAATTCATGATAAAACTTCGTCATTGTTGGCTCTATAGTTCTCTATGTTCATTCTTCATAAATGAGCCTATTTATATTTGAGAGTCATAAATGATTCGATAAATTTATAAATCTTCTTGTTGGAAGTCAGTTATATTTGTCTCATTCTTTCTTCTAAGTTTTTTTAGATATTTGAGCTTTTTTTAGTTTCTTCGATGGTTGACACAATGTAACAATATTTTATAGTGGAGGTTTCTCTTTATGTAAGGTAATGGTTATAAGCATTAAATGCTCTAACCGAAGTAGGTATAGCATTTTAGCACAAGTGTTATAAATCAGGAAAGAATCACAAAGAGATTGATCCAAGCAATAATTGTGTTTAGAAGAAATCTAAAAAGATTATAGAGTGAACAAAATTAATTGCAGATAAAAAGAATAGCAAAGAAATGAGTTTTAAAGAGTTTAGAATTGAAAATGTAAAACAGAGCATGAAAAAGCAATTTAGTACCGATGCCATTGAGGTTAGTACCAATGCTGTGATGAACAATAATGACAACACAATGAAAATAGCACAAGCATTTCTTTGATAGTATCAATATGAAACTCTTTGTAAATGACGATGATATTTGTCATTTTATGAAAATAAAATGATTTTCTCAAGAAAAATTGGTAGCACAAGTGTTAATGAACTGTTTGAAAGAAAATGTTGGAGAATGGTACCAGTGCTATCAAATAGCACAGGTGTTAATACAACTTAAAAGAACTCTTTCAAAGTGCATGTGTTGAACAACAGTACCAGTGCTATTAATAACACAAGTGTTAAAAAAAAGAGGCTTGAAAACATGACAACAAGAGATGATGAAAAAGTTGAAATAGCACAAGTATTGACAGACAATACAGGTGCTAATGATTCAAAATGAAAGAACAAGACTATGTAAAAAGAGAAAAGAAACACAAGTAGAATAAGAATAGGAGAATAACACAGGTGTTAAAATTGAAATAGCACTAGTGCTAAAAGATAATACCTGTGCTGAAGGCACTTAAAAGAAAAATGAAGTTTCAAAAAGTGAATTTTGACATAAGGTTTAGTAGTTGAAAAACTTCCACAGTGATATTTAAAGATAAAAAAATATATAATTAAATCAAATATTTAATTAAGTCAGGATTTCACAAAAGAATAAATATTTTTATGACACGAGGATCAAAATAAATTAATATAGGATTGAAGATATCAATGCTCAGTCTCTCTAGATCAAATTCATTTTAAATATTAGTCAATTACTTTACCCTTATATAATCATGATTAATTAACCTGTAAATATAATTTTCTCTTTATTTTATAATCATTAAAATCAACATTCAACTGACGTTTCATTCACTTGGCCTATTTGTTGTGTTAGTTGTTGTACCCTTTTGCATAGAGGTGGTTTTAATTTCACCCCAAACACATAGAATTAGAAAAATGATAATTTGTGTAATTTTACCGGGAATGAGTTCCATGAACATAGAATTCAGGGCTCATGATCCGAAAAGCAAAAGGTCGAAATAGCGAAGAGGGGAAAAGGCACATCCCACATGCAAAAAAGGTTAATTCAATCAATGTCATCAATTCGCTGCTTTATACGTTCACCGCTTTTTGGGATGCGAGCGTACAAGTGTTCTTCTTTTTCAATTAAAGTATCCAACTCTTCTCTATCTTCATTCCCAATTTCGCATCATATGATATTCAGTATTAGATAACGAAATCACCAAAATTGTAGCTTCAGTGAGAAAGATATCACACACTTCCACGACCACTCGATAGGGACTTGTTTGTTCCTGGTTATCATCACATCATGCTTGTTTGTTTGTTTTTTTTTTTTTTTGGGGGGGGGTGTTCCCACTTGCAAGCCTCTGTGGTTACATGTTTCTTTTGCCCTAGTTTGTGGATTTAAAGAATACAAGAATATGAAGTTAGAAAAATAGATTTTAAGATGTTGAGATGAATGTGTTAGTATACATTAAAAAAATAAAATCCATAATAATATATATAAGAAAAATTAGGCATGCATCTATTGACAAGATGGTCGTTTGAGATAATTTGAACATGTATAAAAAAAAGTCACATCAGGCACGGGTAAAATAGTAAAATATAAAGTCTTGAGACCTGTAAAGCTGTAAAGAAGGACTAACAAAACTAAAGAACACTCTTAAAGAACTGGTTGAAATAAGATTTTTTTGTTAAAAATATATTCAAAGATGTAGTTGTTGATGGAACAAAATGAAATGGTGTAATTCATGTAGCCATAAACAGAAAAATAAGGATTTCTCTTATTGTTGTTATTTAGTTTGTGGGTTTCATGTCTCTCTGCTTCGATCTTGATCTTTGCCCGACACACCCTGTTCTATTTTCAGCTTTTTTTAGTGATCCAAAGAAAGATCAGGCACTACATACAAGGACGAAATGTCAACGTTTGTGTCTTCCTGATCAGCCCAGCAATTTCACAATATTATGCAATACAAATAATCAGAATTGAAAGCCCTAAAGGCTAAAAGCACTCCTAGTGTCACATACCAAGCCAAAAATAAAAGCACCCATCGTGTGACACGCGAAACTAACTTTTGTGAAGCTTTGGTCTGTGACTGTGGTCACACTCCCTGCTCAATATCTTAACCAACTCAGTTTTGTTGCATCATAACCCTATTTCCTATCAAGCTTTTCACTTTTCTGGGTCCAAATAAATCTGTTATCATCTTAAACTGTCAAGCTGTAAACCGAAGCAGAACAAAATAAACCACCTACTTTATGCCTTAACCTACCAAGTTACCAACCACATCAACGCTCATCATTTGCTTGTGATAAGTTTGGTTGGAAAACACCGCAAATGAACTGCATGTGATTGTGAATGTAGATCTTAGGAAGGGTAACACCTCTAGTAAATCATGTTATTACTAGATGGTGAGAGAGAAAGAAGTCGTGATCCTTCTTTGCTGTGAGAAATGGTCCTGAAGGCTGATATAAAGGCACTTCGAAATAGGACCACTTCAAGTGATCCGACAGAAGGCAGGCCCAAATGAATAGACTAATAGACTCTGAGTTACAGCTTTCTCCTTATCTACTCGACCAAGAATGGCCTCAAACTATTGAACTAAAATGTCTTATATAGAGAGGGTTAGTATCTAACATCATGGGGAGCTATATATTAGTATGGTTACCAACAAAGAAGTTAAGCCTTGTGTGTGGAATAGCACGGTTACACTAGATTATGATATTTGGTTGCAATAAGGTCAACGTCTGGTAGGAAATGACAAATTGGGTGTAGATTGATTGGAGAATAGAAATGGTCCCTGAATTTACAAAGCTTCTGATATGGCTTTCCGGTATTGCCGGCTGCTTCTGAATAATGCGCATGCTCGTCTCTCTGTCGTCTCCATCAACCTCTGCATGTGGTGAGAAATACCTTTATTATCTTTATCTATGGTAGCCATCTGAGTTAATGGGTTTGATCTTAGAAAAAAAATGTTTTCTGAAAGCTCACGATCACATTAGGCTTCCAATGGGTCAAAGAATAGAGAATCTGAAAACGTATAGGCCCAGCAAAAAGAACAGGCTACGATTCGAGAAAAACCTCCGAAGTAAGGAACTCATTCCAAAAAAAAAAAAAAAACTGGACTAGAGTACGGGTTCGCCTGCATGCATCGCTGGCCCAGAAAACCAGGAAAAAAAAGGGCACGTCCATTTGAAGATGACGAGCAGTAATATATGACATAAAACTGGTCCTTAGATGCGAAGGCACGGGTGACTTTGTCTCGAAGCAAAAAGTCAACGCACGAGGTCTTTCAGGGGTCAATTATTTAAGGAGCAAGACGATTTATTCAAAGACTAGAACAAGACGTGATATAAAATCTACCAGCATATTTTCACGCCAAGTTTTACCAGAGGGTATCAGAACTTTTGCGGATCAGAAGTAACTAAATTTGAATTTCTTGCTTCAAAATACCTATGATAAAATCGTTACGCGATGCAAAAACACTCACCGGAATACTCGTTCTTTCAGACGATAACTGAGCAGATTATATTAATCCAACCACTCTAATTCCCCTCCTCGTTTTCAGCTCCTTTTCTTTTCCATGCAAAATTAGGTGATTTGAGTCCCAACTTATTATGTTCCACAACTCATGCGCCATTTTTATGTATGACTTACAGATTAAGCTTATAGACTAGGTTTTATGTGCAGTTAGCTAGTGCATGCGGGTGCGTGGCTGTCTAGACTTGCGATTTTTCCCATCCATAAAGCAAATAGAAACTAGAAGCGAGGAGAGCCAGAGAGGAACATTTGGTAACTTTTTTTTTTTTTTAGCCTTCTTGGGAAATGGTCTTTAGGGTTTGAGGCCCGTTGACGAAAAAGCTGTCGAAATTATTCTCTGCAGGACTAGACTTCATAGGAGTAACATATGGAGGACCCAACAAATGAAGCCCAGAAAAATGGCCGCCCCATATATCATAGGTATACTCATCCGCATGCCCTGTCTCTTGTGCTTGGACAGTTTTTTTGTTCTCAAGTTCGGATCCTGGAGCTCGAGCATACGGAGGAACGGTTGATGTCAATGCCAAGCAGAAAGAAGGTTCACCAGGCAGGGGAAAAGTAGCAGAAGGAATCTCAACAGATTTACTAGCAGCTCTTGTTGGAGTTGAATGCAGCAGCCCTTCAGAAGAGAGAATGTTTCCCCGGCACTTCACTGGAACCTCATCAGCAGAAACAGATGCTTGATCATTGTCAGAATGTTGGTTAGCCTCTTGAATAATCGAAGTACGAGACTCTTCAAGGGTTTGCTCCACCTCAGGAGACAATGGCCAGTTACATCTAGAAGTTGCAGAGACAACTGGAGATAAAGGAGATGAGGGTGTAGAATTCCCACTTTGACTACTTGAAACTTCAGATAATCCTGCTACTTTCGCGGGAAGACTCTTCCTCTTCCTTCTCCTTCCCTTTTCTTTTCCAGTTTTGACCATGAGATTATTACAAGGTTGCGATGCTCCCACTGTATCAGAGCTCTGGGTTACAGTAGATGGTAATTTTGCTTCATCTGGAGCATCCAACAATTGACTGGTCTGTGTATGGTTTGCTGGAGTTTGCATCAGGCGTTGAGACATTCCAACTGAGGCTGTATCGTTTCCAACTGAGCGCAACAGATTGTTCATCTTATCAGACATTGATAACCTACTCTTTCTGTGGTTATGACGCAGAAGAGTTTTCCCAGCACTTTCCACAGTGGTGGGAATGTTGTTAATGTTATCACCCTTACACAGGCAATCCAAGGAGCCATGAGCAGTGGTTTGAGGACATATGATGCAGAATACCACATAAAGTAAGGATGTGAAGAGAAAGAATCCCAGAGAGAGTTTTTTCACACGCATCCAAAACATGGATTTCTTGCAGTTACTCAGCATATCATGAGGGAAACTTGCCTTCATGGGTAACAGAAAAATACCAGTAGCCAAGGCAAGTTCAAGATCCCGATGTACCATGGCTGCAGAAAAATCACTTTGGTACGATATCAGAAGCTCTGTTGACTCCCCAGGTTCCAAAACAAAACCTCTACAAGATTGAACCAAAAAACCATCCAATCCACATTCCTTCCCAGAAATTCTGATACTTAACACCTCCAATGGCAGGTCTCCCGTGTTCTTGGCATAGAGCTCTTTCACTAAAGAATGTGAACAGGCAGAAGTCATCTCTTTCATGCGCAGCAAGGCATATGGAAGAGAGAAATTAAGGTGCCTGGCATTTCAAGATCAAAATCTAGACTCTGAACAAGCTCAGATTTCTCGAGCATGACTAGGGAATGTGACCCTCCAAATCCCCTAAGGGATAACCATTCAACGCCTGAAAGGTTGTTCCTTATCAACGCAGAACCACTCCACCCGCATCTATCCGATGGATAAAAAAGTATTGGCCCTAAAGATGCACGACCATGAGGGTGTACAAAAGCCTTTGTTATTGCAGACTTAGGTACTGAGAATCCATGCTTTGTTGGAGTTGTGGACTCATCTAAAACCAAATTGCCAGATGAAGAGGGGCGTACTAATCCATCCGGACCCTTGCATTCACCAATTATTTCTCCAGCATTCAAGATAAGCTGCATTATAACTGGATACTCACTAGGATTTTTTACAGTGATCCACTGAGGGACAAAACTTCCAACTTGAATCACTGGGAATAACACCTCACGGTTTTCAAGCACAGACATGCCAACTGACATTCCTTGAGACATCCAGTTTCCAAGCACTAATTCGTCAACATCTGCTGTCTCTATATCCTGCAGAAGCAAATGACTATGAATATCAGAAAAAACAAGTAATGCTAGTAATATAGCTTTAGGCCAGCGCATATTTTCCATGTGCACCACTATAGCAATGAGGCAACTCAAAAATTGCGAATGAAGTAAGGGTGCTTAATATTTTATAAAATGTCAATTGTTTTTTTTTTCTTTTTTCTTTTGGGCAAGGGTTTCAAGAGAACACAAGTGATCCAGGAGGACATTTGCTGCACGTTATACAATTTACACGCTTAAAGATTACAAATTCATGACATCAATTAAGAGAGATTTCCGCTTATATTTGTATTGGAAACAATAATATAGATGAATAGTAAGGATATTGTTCATTTTATCACTAGTTCTCCTTTTTAAATATTGTCGAATATTAAATAAAAATTGCATAGGATCTTTGACTTAGAGCACCAGTGCAGCGTCTTATCCCAAAAACCATTTATGCTCTTAAGTCTTAAATCTCCAGGATTGGAACCTTAGATCTTGAATAAAATCAAACTTAGGGTTCCTCAAATCAATAGCTCGGACAGATCCATTGTTAGTTTGAATTTAACACCACAATCCATTCATTTGCATGCTCCTAACATGTAATTCATGTGACAAATAACTGGTGAAAGAAAATGCTCAAGGAGTATCAATTAACGATTTTCTACCTTAATGCCTTATGAAAGAATGTCCATTGGAACTACTATCTACCTTAATATTTCATGAAAGAATGTCCAGTGGAATATACAGTTTTTTGTGAAGAAAATGAATAGGCCCCACCGACAACAAAGATTATCTCCCCCAAGATACAAAGAGCAAAGGGCAAACTCCTCCCAACTAAATTGCTACATACACAAGGGTTGGGATTGCTTAAGTAACAAGAGCCCCTACCACTCACGCCAACTTGAGTTGATACAACTATACATTTCAAGCAGCACATGAATGCAAACATACATACATATATATGTATACACATGTACATGCATACATATATGCATGCATGTATGCATACATGCAAGCAAACAAATAAACATATATATGCACTATTCCATTCAAGTTTACAAGAGACTCACTACTCTAAATTTGTTATTTCAGTGTTGAATCAACAATTGTGACCAAATAAAAAGGAGAAAGAATCTGCATACCTTGACATGTGGTGGCCCCTCCATGCTTCTGGCCACAAAACCTGCCCTCAGATCTCTTGATTCACTATATTTAGTCTCGTGCTCTAATCCAATAGAAGAAAGCCAGCGATCACCAAAGCATATATGTAGTATGTTCTCACACTGAATTTCCATTTGAGGACTAGTTGAGTCATTCGTAAGAAGGAGAAGTTTGCAGTTATCTCGCAAGTTAGACTCTTTAGCTGGTAAGTCAAGTAATTTGGTGCGCAGGTGACTACAATAAATAATTGCAACTTGTGTGACAGTATTGGGGAAAAGTAGCAAGCCTTCCATGTATTTGATGTGAAAAATCTGAGAGTCAGAAACTTCTACAATTTTAACAAAGCTTGAAAGATAAGGGGCATCATTTCTTATGGAGATAATGATGATAGTTTCGCCGCCATCACATGGTGTTAGAGCCTCAAGACTTGCTGAAATATAGATACCAACAGTGTCATGGGCAGAATCGCTAATTACTGCAGCCTCAATAGGAACCATAACAGTATCAAACTTTTCTTGTGAGGACGTCATTAGACGCAGACAAAATGCACCAAATACTTTTCCCTCCATTCCCACTGAAATATCTATCTCTAAAAGAGCTTCAGAGCTACGTGGACTAACCTCCCAGTTTCGATGGGGCCTAACTGCTACAATTGGTGAACCAATTTGGCCACTCTTTACAACCAACCGATCCTTAATAATTGGGAAGAGTAGGTTATCAAAAGCATGGATATTATTTATACTACAAATTGCTTCGGTTTCAACAGAATTATGCCCCAATGAAACTGAAATCCAAGCAGTTATTTCATCAACATACAGGGTCTCATCAAAGGAATTAAACAATGAAAAATTCCTGCTCAACCTTCCACCAGGAGAAATTTCCAGACCTAGTAGGGGCTGAATTCCATAGGGAGATTCAGTAGCATACCCTTTAGCCTCAACAAAGAATCCACCGTAACTTGTTTGTAAAACCAGGTGAGCTGAAGACAAGCCCAGGCATCTAGGGAAGAAAACAAAAGAAATAACTGCTGATTCACCAGGACCTAGTGAAATTTCACTGAAGTTACAAGGATAGAACTGTATGTCAGTACTGAAGGGCTCATAAAGGTGTAACATACAGTCATTGCATGTATTTTCCACATTTATGAAAGCCACTGAAGGGGAATACATGTACTTTTGTCCCCAGTCCAGCAAAGTAGGGCCAATCCTTACATTGGGTGAGAAGAAACTGGATTCAGCCATCTTGGAGTTCTTGGGCAAGAACTGTGTTGTCTTCTGCTGTAATAAAGCTCCTCCACAGGAAGAAAGATCATCTTTATGACCATTCTCAGTTTGAAACAATGGAGCATCATTAGTTCCTTCTCTAGAGTTCAAAGAACAAGAAACAACCCCACCGTTAAGTAGCTCAAACATACCATAGTCAGATGACCAACTTTTGTTACTTGCCTGCTGGCTATCTTGAGTTAGTTCTACACCAAATGGACCATTGTACTGACTACTAGAGTCTTCTAAAGAAGCTTCTTTCATACGTTTCTCTTGGTATGAATATCCACGTATTGTCGAAGGAAAACAGAATGAATGAGTATTTTGACACACACTTTCAATACTATTGTGGGAAGTTGGGATCCCATAGCCCACATTAGTGTCACTAACCAAGCCATCTGAAAAATCCAGCTCGTAATTTTCCCCAAATGACACACAAGCATCATATTCAGGCGGATTTTGTATCCCACTAGTACAGCATGGTCCATAGGCAGCAAAGCAATAGAAGGAACATAACAGAACCACATAACAGTAGAATGTTTTGGCTGGGTGTGACAATCCCCTATTTGAACCACAAATAGATGTAAGATTTTTTATTTTTTTATTTTTTTTACTCTAGACATGCAACATTACAAAACAACTGCAGCATAGCATCAAAAACCCAAGCCCAAATAAGAAAATAAAGAAAAAGAATGGGAGTAAAATTACAATAGCTAAAGCAACCAAAATTTTGCCAGTAATTATTTCCCGCTTTATTTCAGTTTAAAACCAGGTGGAATATTGCATTTAAGAGACAAACATTACAGGTTAAATGAAATTAAAAGTTACCAACATATAGTATAAATAGATGTAACAAATGTAAACACTAGAAAGCTCGAAGGAGGTGCAGGCCCCGTGAATATTGTCCATTATGCCACCAGAAGTTAACCATTTGCAGTTAGAGCAGTCGTCAAAATAAATAAATATATAAATAAATCAAACCCTTCATGCCCAATTGTCGAAAAGAGAAAAAAATTGAGAAGCAATCATCTGGGAATCAATATTGCATGCCAGAATTAGAAGCCGTAGAAATGCTTGTATCCACCGTTAAGCCAAAAACGTTAAGGGATTGCCATACCACATGCCAGAACCATCCCTCAGTAAGACCGCTAGAACCCACTCAACGAAAAAGTAGCAGCACAATTGCAATCGCTTCCTTAAACAGAGCGTTCTAGCCCAGATACCCCCGGATGATTAGAGCCCAAACAAGAATAACCCACTCCACACGTTCAATCCCGGAGGAAAAATCAAAGACCTTCTTTCCTCGGTCTCAATAAAAATAGTAACAGGTCATTAAATAAAAAAAAAAGATTTATCTATACCGAAGAAGAAGAAGCTATAACTAGTAACAAAAAAGTCACAGGAACCTGACAACAAAAACAAGTCCTCAACTTCCAATAGTGGCAAAATATTGAAAATTTACGAAATATAGGAAACCATGGACAAGGAACATGTGAAGACAAAGCACAGATACCGGAAGCATATTTTTTAAGCCACAAAAAGCAAAGTTGATGATGAAGAAAACTAGGAATGGTGAGAACGGTAGAGATACCGGTGGAAGAGCATATAGAGTAGCTTGAACGCTCTGATGATTAGGGTTCCGAGCTCCATGACAGAGGAAGAGAACAACCCATAAGACACAAGACCAAATTTTTTGGGGCTGTTCTAACTGCGCTTACAACCCAAGCACACCCGATAGCAGCGAACGAATGGTCCCAGAGAAACAGCGAAATACAAAGAAGGGAAAGAACACAGTTAAAAAAGCTAGAATTACAGTCAATGGACTGAAACGACGTCGTAAGCTTGGTTGCTGATGCTGAAGGAAATGGGTCGAGGCCTTAAAAAGGGTATAGGTTTAGGGTTACGGCTGAGGTTAGGAAGGGAACCTGGTGGCTGTTACGATCCTTTTCTTCCCATCCTTCGATGATTTTGGCTTGGGGGATAAGGGTGGTAAGGTCATTTGACTGAAAGGGGGGACTAGGAACGGAGGAGGCTTGTCGTCGTCGACTTCTCCGAGATGATGCTAATATATTAAATACTAAGTACATGTTACTTTGTAATGTATCAATGACATAAAATAAAGCGTGTTTCTCGTTGCTATTTAGCTTTAAGTCATTTTCAATTATTTGATAACATTATGCATAGAGATGTCTTTGAAATGATTTGAAAGTTTATAATTTTCATTGCTATTTAGGATTTGAAAACTATCACTTATTTCTCTTCAATGCAGGGGGAGGTTGGATTTAAGAATAGAGGATCAAAATTAAAAAATATATTTACTATAAAATTTTCATAAAATTTAAAAGATTGAAAGTATATAATACTTATATAATATAAAAAAATTTAAAAAAAATTATGAGGTCCATGCCTCTGCTGGTTCCCTCCCTCTGTCACTACGATTTCTCTAATCCGTCGTATTAGTACAGTCAAATATAACTGATGTCTTTTAGTAATGGACATATACTATATAATTTATTATTTTTTTGTAAAAGTTATAATGTATTACTATCCTTGTTTAAATGTGTAGGCGTATATTTCAAAATCAATAATTCAGACTTTCAAACTTATTGCTGTAATTGCATTCAATGCAATCAATACATTTATAGCCATTATTGATTATTATTATTTTTTAATTGCGTAGAGTTGGAGCTGCTGATGATTGAAAATTATAAAATCAAAATAAATATAAATGGTATTAGCCATCCAAGTGTCAGAAATGACACCTTTACACCTTTTATAATGGAGATTGCAAGTTCGAACACTAGAATGTGTGTGGAAGGTGTGCACATTTTGTTTATTATGATTATCACATATCTAATAATTGACACTTATCACAAATAAAATGAAATTGCAAATTTTGCAAGTCCGTGTCATTTGCACATTTCTATACCAAGCCCAATTTGGCTAGTTTACATAATTAAATATTAAATAATTAATATAGAAATACGTGTATGCATGAGTTGAGATTAGAAAATATGTGCATTGCTTGCCTTGGCTTTGGATGAATTGTGGACTAATCAGCGGGGGAGCCACGTAGTTTATTTTTGGAGGGGGGAATCACCCTCTCACATGAAAAAAATTGTACATGTAGTATGAAAAATTTACAACCTTACATCTTATATTTTTAGCTTTTTAAATTCTCCAACTCAATAAAAAAAATTTGGGAATCTAAATTTAAACTCCATATCAACCTTCTCAGCATATTTTTGATAAAAAAATCTCAATATATTTTGCCCAAATAAAAATATGTATAATTTTACTTATGTTATTATATTTTTTGCCTATGTAATTAATTTTAAAAAATTAAAATATTATTTTTTAATTATTTATTTTTAAATTGCATTGTCTTATATCCTGTGACTCAGGACCTTGGCCCCACCACTAGGGCTAATGATAGATAATTCCTTTGTTTGATCTTGTAAGAGGAATCAAAGCCAAAATTTCATCCAAAGGGCAAAGATCCCTTATTGAAACGTGGGAAAAAAAAATACATGTTAACACAACAAATGCAACATGAAAATGCACTTATAATTTAAAAAAAAAAAAAAGAGTTGGCCAAAACCACGCAACTAGAAAAGGCTGGCTAGTGTAATTTTTGTAAATCCAAGGCATAGATATAGTTTCGATCACATGGGGTCATTTGATATAAGATTTTGTATCTATGTTTGTATTAGTCGCTATTTGCAATCATGTGGGGAATAGCCTAGCTAGGAGCTACTCTAAAGATGATTTGGGGTAAATAAATGCTATAGATTGAAAGCTAACAATTGCTTTTCCTTCTCTTTCACATCATTTTTGGTGGATTACTGCCTTATGTTGCCTTTTATTCCGAAAGCTAAGCAGTGCTTGATGTGGACCTCAACAAGTAACTTGTCCCAATAACCTATGAAATATAATAGGGTTTAGGCACTGTTTGGAAATACAATATCTCCCATTCCAAAAATACTTTTGTAAGTGAAATGTTGTTTGAAAGAAATTTTTCATAACAAAAATACTTTCCCTAAACACATCTAAAACATGGCTAAACATAGATTTTCTAACTCTTCATTTGGTTACTTTTACGTGAATGTGATGATTTGAGCATTAATAATTGATACTTAATTTTATATTTAACCATAATACCCTCTATTATTTTTGTCATTCTTGTCGTGCGCGAGAGCTTGTGTTCTGCCACTCCCATCTCTTCTGGTCAAGAGCTCTCTCATCTCTCATCTCATGTTACTGTCTCTCCACCCATCTCGAAGCTACTCTCTAGAGGTGACATCTCCACTATCTCACCCAGTTCCTCTAAGGTGGACAGGTCACCAGAGGAGGAAGAGAACATTGCCAATGACAACAACAAAGAGGAAGACAAGTATGACTTCATCAAGGATTGAATATCTTCATGGCAGCGACCTTAGCTGCAACAACCTAAATATCTTTAGGAGAGTTGGAAGTAGGTCAAGGCAAGGAACCTGCGAGTTCAAGGAAATTAATGGCAAAATGGCCTTTGATAACAAGTGCAGCCACGTTGTAGGCACACGCTGCCATCTCCATAGTGGTGAAGGTGTCAGCTAGATCTGATTGTTTTTCCTGGGCTCTCGAATTTCTAACACCCACTTGCACCACGCCCTCATTTGAACCCCTCTGTATATGGGATGCTTGTTATTACTGCTATCTTAGCTCCTCTTGAGCTTCCTCTGTTGTGCTGGCAATGGCTCAAAAGCAAAGTTCAACCATGATTGAAATGACGATAGTCCAGATGTTGATGGCGAGGACGACGTGGTGATAGAGAGTGTGAGGACCAGTGTGAATGCTTGTCTCTATCTCTAAGTTAGGGAGCTCAGCCATTGATATTGATGAGGACAAAGTGACTAAAGGAAGCTATGGTTCAGCTCAACGATACAAATTCATTTTTACTCCCTCTATCTTGACTATTGATTACATATTTTCTTAATATTAAATTTTATATTTTATATTTTTATTATTTAACATTTTAAATTCTATGTTATTTTAAATTTATTTCATATTTTTTAATATATTATATTTATATAATGAAAATTATAAATTATCATAAATCAATGTTTTTTTTATTATTCTATATTTAGAAGCACATTTCAAAAGCACAAATTTTTATTAATTTAAACAACTTTCAGTTTGTCAAACTAACTTTTAAAAAAATGTATTTAAACACAATTTTTGTTATAACAACTGACTTTTATCAAATTAACTTTTGTTAAATGAACTTTTATCAAAATGACTTTTGATAAATTAAAAACCAAACACACACTTAACTTGCAATCCTAGAAACCAAGAAAAGTGATAGAACCAAGAAAAACAATGCCATTAAAAAACAAGGTTGATCGCTCCTGGCAAAGTTGAATCATGTATTATAGGGAACACTAGTTCTTACACTTGCACAAGAAGAATAATATTATTGATCTCTCTCTCCAAAATATGCATTGCATATAAAGGCCTTTAAATAGGCAATACAAAAGCTCTAAAAGATGCCTTCATTAAAGAGTATTGAGAAGAATCTATTATAGAATTTCTTCCATAAATGAGAAGATTTTTTACTATCCTCCTAATTAATGCAAAGATAAAAATGAGCGAGTTTTTGCCTTCAACCCACAACTAACCAAAAAAAAAAAAAACTAAAGACTCTTTTGACTCTTAAATATCAAAAATGGGAAACAAAAGACTTTTGAAAACCCTACCTGAAGGTGAAGCCAAGTTAAAAAGAAGCCTAATTAAAATACTAATTAACATAGTTAAGTCCTCAGACCCATTATTAAATGCCTAAAATATAAAATAACGGACAAACAAAGTGACTTTGGTCCATGACCTTATTAAAAATGAAGATACAAATTAAAATATATAAATAGACACGAAGCCAATTTTTCCCAAACATATCTCACGCCATCTCCGTGCACCTTGGCAAATAGCCGCCTTCTAAAACTATCATGACTCATTAAATTTTACGTTGGACTTAAACATGCAAGATTAAGGCCCATTTAACCCCTCCATGTGTATATTACTATAGATATATTGAAATAGATTCCAAAAGCATCTTGAAACCTCTTGCTTCTTCATTAGAATTGAGCCCCCCCCCCCCCCCAAAAAAAAATTGAGCTCTCCACTTCACATGAATCATACAAAGTGATGGAATTACCCTCTAAATCTAAATTAATATCAACTTGTATGTAGTTATTGCAAGATTCTAGCATTGTTATGACTTTACTATGAATTTTTTGTTGGTTATGATCTTTTATTCAGAAATAATCCTAAATGAATTTTTTTAAAAAAATTGTCATGACTGAACTACTTATCAAAGTGTAATTTGGGTAAAACCTTATGGGTCAGTTTAAATAAGCATAGTAAATTTTAGAAACTTGAATCTTTTATATTTTAAATACATGACGCTTATTTTTATAAATATTTGAGTACTTCATTATATATATTATTTGGGCCAAAAGTGGAGCCGAAGTCTAATATAATCTAAAGGTGACTTTAGCCTAACAACAGACCAACTATGTGAGTTTAAGTGTAACATAATGTTTAGACAACATATGACTTAGTCTCACCCACTCTGCCCACTACCTAGTTTTTTCGGCACAATCACTCTCACCACTCCACACAGTGAAACACACCCTTGGTCAATTAATGGCCGGAACAATTACTTGCTCCTCTTGACACCAAAGTTCAAATTTAAAAGAGCACATAATTGCCATTTTGCCTATAAATAGGCAACAGGTGCATGATTGAAGAGTCCTCGACACTGTGCTAAAACTCACTAAGACTTATCCAGCGCAAAAACAACAAAATCCAGCCTTGCGTTGCCTTGGTTCACCTAGCACGAACCTTTTCACCTTTGCAAACTCCACCTCATGAGCTAGTATCTATTCCCCTTATTTCCTATGTTTCACGAGGCAC